AACTATCGATAAGACCACTGTGGACGAGGTGCAGACGGTTAGGACAGGGATCACAGTAAAGGCTCCGATGCGACACAATTTGCACGTATGTCCCATTGAGCATGGTGACTTCATTTATTTCTTACTACCGTAAATATTACATTCAAAATAACTGTTAATTAGGTATCGGTTGGTGGGACCGTTGAAAAGACGTTCACGTTTCCCAGCGTTGGAACTGGATCAGTAATATTTACTAATCTATCATATTTAGCTTTCTATTATTTAAATTGATCTTGATCACAGATCAACATGTGCGCTAGCGTTGTGAGAAAAGGGTTTGAATCAGGTATGTTTATATGTTTATCATACTTTATGTTTATGTTTCTTACTTTAGATGAAATACAATAGTTTAAAATGTTTCACTAAATGAACTAGGACACCCGACAGAAGTGGACTGCTTTATATGGAACGAGTCGAGTCTGGACGTGACCCCCCGGGTCACTCTATACCAGACACAGGTCTATATGTGTGGCGAACGGCATAAAGCAGTGGATGTGGCCCTTACGGAAGCCCTCGTGGGTCAGGTGGTTAAGGGTAGTGCTGAGGGTATGGAATCATTTTTACTGGTTATTCCCGACGGCCTACCCCTGTCGTTCAAAAGTGGCCTGATCACAGTGAAATATTTTGCGCATTTGACCCTGGACATACCATATGCCATTGATCTGCACATAAACTTACCGATTGTTATCACAACAAAAGGGGCGCTCGAAGCTATTTGAACTTGTTCAATATATATCATTTAACTTTATATTATATACATTATTTTGCTTGTTATTTTAATCTCGATAATTTATTTTTCATTATACTCCACACTATTGCCTGTTTACTAATTAACACACTTTATATTGTTTAAAATGAATGGTTTATATAAAATACTGTTCTGGCATACAATTATGTTAGGAATATACGTATTCATACAAAACCAGTTCATAAACTTTGATTGAATTATACAAATGCAATGTTTAGAATGTAAAGTCTAATTATTATTAGACTCTAATATAAGCAAAGTTCACACAATTGTTAATCAAATTAATCATTATTGAAATTATTAAAATAATCTCGGTAAAAACAATTTAATATTTAGATTAAAAACTCGAAAAATATACGAAAAAGTGACATTAACTCAATATAATATACTATATTATTCTGTATGACATTGTGTTAACGCAATCGCAATACAATAAAAGTGAAATTTCGTAAACAACTCAAGGCTTGACTGCAATGCAGACACAGCCAGACATCTTCACTGCAACGCATCTATAAATTCATATAATCTATAATCCGTTACATTATTGAATAATCGCAATAATGGCCTTGCTTATGCTACCTGGGCTATGGTTGGGGTCAGCCCTCTCTGGTGATGATGATGAGCCCGAGTATGACTACGGACACCACGACTGTGCGGACGGGTGTTACGGTGCGACCGATTGCTGTCACAACTGTTACGATAGGGAACCGCCAGTAACCCAACCGACCCCTACATCCCGGGCCTTCTCCGTGCGGGTCGACTGTCGACACTTCCGGCCTAAAGAGATACGCGTGAGTTGTGTGGAGAACAATGTGGTCGTCCAATGCCAGCACCGGGAGAAACCGGATGCGCATGGATGGGTGGAACGGGAGTTCAAGCGTCGGTACGAGTTGCCCGACAACTGCCCACCGGACACAGTGGTAGCCAATCTCGACAGGAACGGTATGCTATTGATAGAGGCTGGCAGTGAGCAGCCGACACAAGCGGCTACCGGTGCTAACGAGCGACACATACGCGTGAATGTGTTGGCGCCGATCAGATCATACCGACCCGAATGGAGGGCTCCCTTACACGCCATGGAGTTCCTTAATCGCACCGGTATGTCGGCCGGTATGAGACGTCCGCCATACTATTATCCCAACTTTTAATTGATTTGCTTATTATAATACAGTATTAATGCTATTATACTTATTATATTTGTAAACATCATTTAGTTTTTATTTTTGTGTCCAGAGCATATTTATTTGTTTAATTTAAATAATTTAAATTACATTTCATTGTAATATTAAGAACTATAATTTAAATAAATATTAATTAAATAAATTTCATTAAAAATAAATGTGTTTTAATTATTTTGGAGAGTGAGTGAGAGAGAGAGAGATTACGTAATGATAGACATAGTAACAGACAGCATATGCGCATTCAATTGTTTTGTTTGGAAACTAATAAACATTTCGCAAAGACCTTGAACAAATGTCATTGGATGAAAATATTTTGAAGTATTCAATAATCAAAACTATATCCTAAGTCAAGTGAAGTGAAGTGAAGTAGGATTCCCAACTCAATAACAAATTTATTAATTTTGGATATAATTACTTAATTAATATAACACGGTAAGATATTTATATAAATTTACAATTAAAATATTAACTATAAATTAACATGTTAAATTTATAATTGAATATTTTTGAGGCAACGCCTATGTCTATTTTTAGCACATTATTATGTATAAAGTTTTTGACAAAAGGGTGTGTAGTCGTTTTTTAGAATTAAAAATCATAGAATAAAGCTAGAACAAAATAAAAAATTTTGCAACTATTGTTTTTTGGCACCAATCCATCGGTATGCCCAATTTTATTAGGACATAAGGGGAACGGTAGATATGCCTGCACCAATAACCAGTAGAATTAATATTATAATAAATTTAATAATTAAAATTTATCAATTTTTATAACTGACCCGGCCATAAATGTATTTGTTTATAACAGTACCAAAACATGGATAAAATACAACTAAAAGACCTGGATATTAGTCTGGAGGGCAACAAACGGAACTACATATCGGGCGACACAGTGTATGGTACGGTGGGCTTCACAGTAACCGGTGGGCAAATGGAGGTGT